GTAGCCATACTCTAGAGGAACTCCGTAAAGCTAAGCAAGTTTTACTGCACAAGTTTACCAGAATGTCTTCATATAAATAAGGGGTAGGTGTTTATCATAGAAGTCCAGGGTCAGTCATGTGCCTGAACCAAGAGGGCCTGCATGTAGATACTGTCTTGGAAATTCGCTTTGAACGAATTTTTCCTTACCGTGAGTACTCGCAGTTGGATGCGCAGAAATCCCCCATAAAGCTGTGCGAATCTCGCTGCAGCCGTATTACGACTTCCACTTACCACAACTTCAGCTAAACGCCATGATTCCTGCACCTCCAACTGGTTTAGCTCTTTTGAGATGTGGAGAAAAAAGGAGCTCCTGTTACCTAAAAATAATCGGGCGACACTCTCAGGTTGCTGTTGGAATTCACAAAGAGGCGGATCCAACCCCAGCCTCCGATTTGTATTTACAAGCAGACACACGCCCCCCCACATGAATAAGGTCAATCCCCTCCCACAGAACAATGCATGGGGAGTGCCTATACACAGGATGTACATTCCGATTGGAGCATAGCCTTCTTTCCTATTATCTCTACCACTGGTCCTCCCCCCCATGAGCCCTTTGAGGTCAGCAGACTTCCTGTCCTAGCTCCTAGTGGTATGTAAATTCTCTGTACAAGCATCCCTTAGATTAAACAGTGTCTGTATCTGAATGGGCCCGATACGATCTTTATTAAAACACATCCATCCAGATACAGTTTCAGGTTGGTAATGGCTTGTAAGATATACATGAGCCTACACGTGGAGTTCGCACTGCTTGGCGCCTTGCGGTACGGAGTCCATGTGGTACTATGCTGCTGATATGTGGATACAGGCCCGTGGCCTACCGCCGGCGGCATTCGCATCGAATGGTGGTATACACACCGGTCTATAAGCGCAGATCTGCCATCTCATCCGTTACCGAGCTGAGTACTGTAATACATACATTGTACATGCGCATGGCCCAATTGCAGCCTTCAGAGCTTTAATTATACACACGAGAGACATATGAATAACACTCATATATGACACATTTAAAGTTCAACCTGTAAATACAAAATTTCCATGACAATACCCTCTACTACACGGTGGGAGATGGACCTATGAGCTTGTCTAGGATCTTTGTTGAAGACGCTGGGGGATGAATTCCCTACTGCGATGCCCTAACCATGTTTTAGGAGGTTGGAGTCACATGCAGGGGACAAGCTCGAAGACCATTAGCTGTAGCAGTCGAGCTGCTCCCACCGAAGTTTGATAAGTGCAGCAGCAGGTCACCCGAGGTGTGGAGTCCAAGGACTAAATGGTGGTCACCAGAGCTCCTGATGGTGGAGATGGGTTTCACTGCGTGTTATTACCAGGTCACAGTCCTCAGGATCAACCCAGCAGGAGGTGAGAAAGCCGGCGTACAGGAGCAGATATAGCAGGTAGAGATCAAGCAGAGGCATAGCGAAGGATAGTGATGGGCTGAGCACCCCCCTGTTTTGGTTCGTGGTCAAACCTTCGAATCTACAGAATGTTCGATCGCGAATTTCGAACATGAACTTACATACACATCTGAGTATGTGGTAAGATCCCGCTCAGTTACTAAAATCCGGCATGAGTTATATTATGAAATCACACGGTATTTTAGTAGTGAGACATTCATTCATGTTTCAACTGTCAGTGGGGTTCCCCGCTCTCAGCTGACTGTCAAAAGAATTGTCTGCATTGCCCGACAAATAAAAAAAATGTAACAAAAACGTGGGGTCCCCTTTCTCATTCATACCAAGCTGGTAAGTGTCTGGTATGGATTTTGAGGGGAACCCCCATGCCAAAATTTCTTTTAAAAATGGCATGGGGTCCCCCCCCAATATCCATACCAGACCCTTATCCGAGCATGCAACCGGCAGGTCAGGAAAGGGGTGGAACCATACCAGGTCACATACCTTCAACATGGGGGGGGGTGATTTGGGGAGCACCTTGTCCCCATGTTGATGGGGACAAGTATCTCCTCCCCACAACCCTGTGGATCTGCGGGTGGGAGGCTTATCGGAATCTGGAAGCCCCCCTTTAACAAGGGGGCCTCCAGATCCCGGCCCCCCCATGTGAATGAGTAGGGGTACATGGTTCCGCTACCCATTCACAAAAAAAGGCGCAGTGTAAAAAAATACAGGAGACAGTCTTTGACAAGTCCTTTATTAAAAATAAAATTTAAAAATATGTTCCCCGAAGTAGATCCAAGGTCAATCATGATGCTCGCCGCCGCTACCCCGAAAAAAGAAGAAAAAATTTCCGCGCGTGACACTGGCACCCGCCGTCTGACAGCTGCGCCGTGATGACAGTTCTTAAATACTGTCGTGACATCACAAAGGGGTGGGGTTTGACATCATGCTGTGATCGGCCAAAGCATTCACCAGGCGTGGTCAGGTGCATTGTTTTGACCCTTCACAATGCACTGTCAGGGCACAGTGCACTGTGGGACGCAGTTGGCGATCAGCCTTCCGAACGCCCTTATCATTCGTGTGGTCAGCGAACACATGAATGTCCCATGTTTGGGTCGAACTTAGGTTTGATTCGAACATAGAGCCCAACAATAGTCAAGGAACAAACCAAGGTCTGTAATGAGAGCCAGTGGAGATGAGGACAGCTGCAGGTATACAAAGGAACAAGATGTCAGCTGGAGAGAGGACAACCATCTAGCAAACAGGATTGCAGAGACATGGCTTACATAGTTAGATAGTTACATTGTTACATAGTTCCATAGTTACATTGTTACATAGTTAGTCTGGCTGAAAAAAGACAAAAGTCCATCCAGTTCAATCATTAAAAAAAAAAGTTATAATCCTACACCCACACACTGGATCCAGAGGAAGGCAAAAAAAAAAACCCAGCAAAGCACGATCCAATTTGCTCCTGCAGGGGAAAAATTCCTTCCTGACCCCCCGAGAGGCAATCTGATATTCCCTGGATCAACTTTCCCTATAAATGTTATATCCAGTTATATTCTGTGAATCCAAGAAAGAATCCAGGACTTTTTTAACCACTTGCCGCCCAGCCACCGCATATAAACGGTGGCAGGGCGGCACTCGTAGGCAAAAGCACGTTTTAAAACGGCTGCCTTCAAAACAGGTAGGGGGCGCGCAAGGCGCGCGCCTGCCCTACCTGTCCCGCGGGTGTCAGCAGCGGGTGTCAGCCGTTGTTTACCGTCCGTTTTCCCCGCGATTGCCGGTGATCGCTGACACAGAGCAGGGCTGCATTGTTTACACACAGCCCTGTTCTGTGTCAGTTCTCTGACAGCTTGTGAGAAGCTGCAGAGTTTCTCTCCCTCGATCAGCTCCCCCCCCCCCCCCCACTCCAGTACACACCCCCGCCCCCTAGTAAAACACTCCCCTTACACAGCAAATTCTAAAAATGTTAACCCCTTCCTCCCCAGTGACATTAGTACAGTTTCAGTGGGTTTTTTCACTGATCACTGTATTGGTGTCACTGGGGATGTCAGTGACCTCAAGTCAGTTCACCCCCCCAGTGTCAAAATGTCCGCCGCAGTCCTGCAGTCCTGCCATAAGTCGCTGGTCGCCGCCATATGTCGCTGATTGCCACCAAAAGTCGCTGATCGGCGCCATTATTAGTATAAATAAAAATTAAAAATCCCAGTATCTTTCCCGGCATTTGTAAACGCTATAACTTTCACGTAAACCAATTAATTTACACGTATTGGGATTTTTTTTTTAGCAAAGACGTTGCAGAATGCATTTTGGCTGAAATTTATGACTAAATTTGATTTTTGCATTTTTTTTTACTGGACATGTTTTATAACAAAAAGTCCAAAATATTGTTTTTTTTTCCTCAAAATTGTCAGCCTTTTTTTTTATAGCGCAAAAAATAAAAACCGCACAGGCGATCAAATACCACCGAAAGAAAGCTCAATTTGTGGGGAAAAAAAGGATGTAAATTTCATTTATGTACCGTATTGCATCACCGCGCAATTGTCCGTTAAACTAGCGCAGCGCTGTATAGCAGAAAAATGGCGTAAATTGCAGTATCTCTCCCATAGTTTGTAGACGCTATAACTTCACACAAAGCAATCAATATACACTTATTGGGATTTTTTTTACCAAAAACATGGAGCAGAATACATTTTGGCCTAAATTTATAACCAACTTTGAGTTTACTATATATTTTTTATAGCTGAAAGTAAAAAATATTGTTTTTCTTCAAAATTTTTGGCCTTTTTTTGTTTATAGCGTGAAAAATAAAAAGCGCACAGGTGATCAAATACCACCGAAAGAAATCTCTATTTGTGTGAAAAAAAGGACGTAAATTTCGTTTGGGTGCAGCATTGCATGACCGCGCAATTATCAGTTGAATTAGTGCAGCGCTGAGTAGCAAAAAGAGGGGTGGTCATTAAGGGGGGTAAATCCTCAGGAGGGCGAGGGGTTAAAAGGTTTACGTCAGGAAGTTCATGGAGGAACAAAGAGTGCAAGGTTCACCAGAAACAGAGACAAGGCAAGAAATCCAAAGGAGCAGACGGGGATCTCTCCAGCATCTCAGGCGGCTCAGCAAGAAGAAGAGCTACTGCCAGAGGCAGCAGAGGTTGTCGGTTTAAGTCCTGGTCCGGACACCCAGCCAAGAAGGGCTGCCCCCTGCACTGGAGACACTCCATAGATGAGCATTGCAAATTGGTCTCCTTTACCACTTCCCGTCCGGCCCATGTCTATAAACGGCCAGACGGGAGCGCTGCCGAAGCGGGTTGACGTTTATACATATCACCCCTGCATTCACTGCCTGTGTGCGCTCCCTGGGAGCGTACGGCACTACGATCTGGTGCCCGCTGTGTCCTAAGGAACACAGATCGCTGTACGGGACCTCTGTGTGAGATCCCGATTCATGTGATCACTGATTGGCCAATCAGCGATCACATGAATAATAGTAAACTGTCACTTCCTGACATCATCGCTTACTACTTGTGAAATCTGTGAATGAGGTGGCAGTGCAGGGGCGGGTTGCCATTCATAAACGGCGCCCGCCATATTGGACTGTGCACGCTCCCTGGGAGCTCGTGGCACCACAATCCGGTGCCCGCTGTGTCAGGAGGCCAATCAGTGATCACATGCAGAGTAGTAAGCAAGATGTCACTTCCTGACATCATTGCTTACTACGTGTGAAATCTGTGAATGATCACAGAGATCACATGGTACAGGGCCATTCACAACAGTCTTGTACCATGTGACAAGCTGTGACCAATCACAGCTCACACAGGATTTCTCAATGGCGGCAGTAATGCAGCCAGAGAGAAGGAGAAATGATTGCTTTTACAGCATGTATGGGTGTAAAAGCAATCAGTGTAAAAAAAAGAAAAGAAAAATCTTCATCACCCCCCCCACAAGTAGTACAGTGACCCATGGTACTGCTCGGGTGATGTTACATTAAAAAAAAACAAAAAAACCATAAATAATAATATCAAAAAAAATAAATAAAAATGTAAATAAAAATTTAAAAAAATTATAATTGTTGGTTATAAACTAATTTGGGTTATTTTTTTTTTAACTAAAAAGATAGCTGAATACATTTTAGCCAAGATTTGTGAAGAAAGATTATTTATTTGCAAAATTTTATAAGAAAAACACCTTTTTCAAAATTTTTTGGACATTTTCATTTATATAGCAAAAAAATAAGTGGCGAATAAATACCACGAAAATAAAGTTTTATCTGTCTCAATAAAATGCTAAAAAATGTCATATGGGTACAGTGTTGCATGACCGCGCAATTGTCATTCAAAGTGTGATAGTGCTGAAAGCTGAAAATTGGCCTGGACTGGAAGGGGGGAAAATGTCCAGACTGGAAGGGGGGGAAAGTGTTCGGGACTGGAAGGGGGGGAAAGTGTCCGGACTGGAAGGGGGGAAAAGTGTCCGGACTGGAAGGGGGTGAAAGTGTCCAGACTGGAAGGGGGGAAAGTGTCTGGACTGGAAGGGGGGGAAAGTGTCCGGACTGGAAGGGGGTGAATGTGTCCGGACTGGAAGGGTTTAAAGATGGCTGCTGCACTTCTATAATAATGAATATTCGGTTTGACCCTGTCCACACTGCAGAAGGATAATACAGCAGAAACAAAGGAAAGACATTTCACATCAGATGTCCGCTACAGTCCAGGTAAAGGATCTACATAAACCCAATAACTAAAAACTCATAAAGATCCAACAGGTTCATGTCCTTTCAAAAGTCATTTTCAATCTTTGTGAGTTTGCTTTCTGGTGATCCTGCCATGACAGTCCTTTATCAGGCACTTCCCGTTATAGGGTGACAATACCCTTTTCCATGTCTTGTGCTTCTGAGTAGTCACCCTGTCACATGATGGGGACCACTAGTGGCCAATTCAACACACATGATGTAGCCACAGTCCACTGTTTTCACCATCAGGAACTCCTCCCGAGAATTGTCCTGCAGCCATCAGTGGAGTACACGTGGCAGGGAAGTGGCTGCAAAGAAGTTGTATGACACAGTAAGTGAATTCCTGTACGGCAACTGGCCAATAGAAATGAGCATAGGCTTGTGCACACGGGAGCACATAGGCGGGAGCGTGCCCACTGCTTCTGGGGCCAGACAGACTATTTAACCCCTTCCAGTCCGGACACTTCCCCCCCCCTTCCAGTCCGGACACTCCCCCCCCCCCCCTTCAAGTCCAGACACTTTCCCCCCCTTCCAGTCCGGACACTTTCCCCCCCTTCCAGTCCAGACACTTTCCCCCCCTTCCAGTCCGGACACTTTCCCCCCCCTTCCAGTCCAGGAAACTTTCCCCCCTTCCAGTCCGGACACTTTCCCCCCCTTCCAGTCCGGACACTTTCCCCCCTTCCAGTCCCGGACACTTTCCCCCCCTTCCAGTCCAGACACTTTCCCCCCCCTTCCAGTCTGACAACAACTTTCCCCCCCCATTCCAGTCCGACACTTCCCCCCCTTCCAGTCCGGACACTTTCCCCCCTTCCAGTCCGGACACTTTCACCCCCCTTCCAGTCCGGACACTTTTCCCCCCCTTCCAGTCGGACACTTTCCCCCCTTCCCCCCTAGTCCGGACACTTTCACCCCTTCCAGTCCGGACACTTTCCCCCCCCCTTACAGTCCGGACACTTTCCCCCCCCCTTCCAGTCCGGACACTTTCCCCCCCTTCTAGTCCGGACACTTTCCCCCCCTTCCAGTATCCGGACACTTTCCCCCCTTCCAGTCCGGACACTTTCCCCCCCTTCTAGTCCGGACACTTTCCCCCCCCTTCCAGTCCGGACACTTTCCCCCCCTTCCAGTCCGGACACTTTCACCCCCTTCCAGTCTGGACACTTTCCCCCCCCTTCCAGTCCGGACACTTTCCCCCCCTTCCCCCCCCTTCCAAGTCCGACACTTTCCCCCCCCCCTTCCAGTCCGGACACTTCCCCCCCTTCCAGTCCGGACACACTCCCCCCCCTTCCAGTCCGGACACTTCCCCCCCCCATTCCGGACACTTTCCCCCCCCTTCCAGTCCAGGACACTTTCCCCCTTCCAGTCCGGACACTTTCCCCCCTTCTTCAATCCGGAACACTTTCCCCCCTTCCAGTCCGGACACTTTCCCCTTTCTAATCCGGAAACTTTCCCCCCTTCCAGTCCAGACACTTTCCCCCCCTTCCAGTCCAGACACTTTTCCCCCCTTTTCCAGTCCAGAAAACTTTCCCCCCCTTCCAGTCCGGACACTTTCACCCCCTTCCAGTCCGGACACTTTTCACCTTCCTTCCAGTGCGGACACTTTCCCCCCCTTCCAGTCCGGACACTTTCCCCCCCTTTCCAGTCCGGACACTTTCCCCCCCTTCCAGTCCGGACACATTCACCCCCTTCCAGTCCGGACACTTTCACCCCCCTTCCAGTCCGGACACTTTCCCCCCCTTCCAGTGCTGACACTTTCCCCCCCCTTCCAGTCCGGACACTTTCCCCCCCTTCCAGTCTGGACACTTTCCCCCCCTTCCAGTCCGGACACTCCCCCCCTTCCAGTCCGGACACTTTCCCCCCCCTTCCAGTCCGGACACTCCCCCCCTTCCAGTCCGGACATTTCCCCCCCCCCCTTCCAGTTCGGACACTTCCCCCCCTTCCAGTCCGGACACTCCCCCCCCCTTCCAGTCCGGACACTTTCACCCCCTTCCAGTCCAGTCCGGACACTTTCCCCCCTTCCAGTCCCCAGACACTTTCACCCCCTTCCAGTCCGGACACTTTCCCCCCTTCCAGTCCGGACACTTTTTCCCCCTTCCAGTCCAGAAACTTTCCCCCCCTTCCAGTCCGGACACTTTCACCCCCTTCCAGTCCGGACACTTTCACCCCCTTTCCAGTCCGGACACTTTCCCCCCCCCCTTCCAGTCAGACACTTTCCCCCCTTCCAGTCCGGACACTTTCCCCCCCTTCCAGTCCGGACACTTCCACCCCCTTCCAGTCCGGACACTTTCCCCCCTTCCAGTCCGGACACTTTCCCCCCCTTTCCAGTCCGGACACTTTCCCCCTTTCCAGTCCGGACACTTTCCCCCCTTCCAGTCCAGGCCAATTTTCAGCTTTCAGCACTGTCACACTTTAAATGACAATTGCGCGGTCATGCCACATTGTACCCATATGAATTTTTTTTTGCATTTTGTTGAGATGGATAAAGCTTTATTTTGGTGGTATTTATTCACCTCTGGGATTTTTATTTTTTTTTGCTATATAAATGAAAAAGTACAAACATTTTGAAAAAAAGTGTTTTGTTTATAAAATTTTGCAAATAAATAATCTTTCTTCATAAACCTTGGCCAAAATCTATTCATCTATCTTTTTAGTAAAAAAATAAATAACCCAAGATAGTTTATAACCAAAAAGGATAATTTTCAAAAAATGTTTTTGACTTTTTTTTTTTTTTTATTATTATTTATGTTTTTTTTTTTACATACTGTCACCCTAAACAGTAGGGTCACCATAGTGAACACTGTACTACTTGTGGGGGGTGATGAATATTTTTTTTTCTTTACACTGATTGCTTTTACACCCATAAAGGCTGTAAAAGCAATTATTTCTCCTTCTCTCTGGCTGCATTCTTGCAGCCATTGAGAAATACTGTGTGAGCTGTGATTGGTCACAGCTTGTCACATGGTACAAGGCTGTTGTGAACGGCCCTGTACCATGTGACCTCTATGATCATTCACAGATTTCACACGTAGTAAGCAATGATGTCAGGAAGTGACAGTTTACTTCTGTTTATGTGATCACTGATTGGCCAATCAGTGATCACATGATCGGAACCTCACACAGAGATCCCGTACAGCGATTGGTGTCCTCTGAACACAGCAAGCACCGGATCGCAGTGCCGCACACTCCCAGCTAGCGTGCACAGGCGGGGAGTGGGGAGGACATTTATAAATGGCAACCCGCCCCTGCACTGCCACCATCCGGCCGTTTATATACATGGGCCGGATGGGAAGGGGTTAAGCCCCGCAGCGCCTGGTGTGAACTGATGTAAGGCAAATTGCCTTTTCTATGTATTGGGGCTGCATCCCCGCATCGGCCGTTGCACATGGTGTGAATGGGAATCCAGCTTTATATGTAATTCTCTGAGCCCCGTAATATGTTGCTCTTTTGTTTCCTCTTTCTTCTTATCTGTAATGTAAAACTTTGTAAATAGTTTTTTCTTTCCTCTTTTTGAGGATGGAGAAGGATTTTCTGTACAAATATCAAGCTGAACCCTCCACCATTCCATCCAACCTCTGAGAGGAGACCCTCCAAAGTACAATATGGAACCGCCAGCCCCAGAAAGTGAACGCGGGTTGTAGGACTGACAATCACAGCTGGGACTTTCCTGGAAATCTCCATCGGAGAAGGAAAGTCATCTGATCGGCACAAACAGAAAGTGAAAGTGTCTTCGGGGGTCTTTCTTCATAAATATCCTCACCCAGAAAACACCGACCTCCACACCCCACTTGGCTGTACGACCTCATCCACCACTAACCGACCCCCACCATGGGGGACAGCACGTACCTGCACCCTGTGGCCCTAACCTGGAGCCAGGGGCCAAAGAAACTGAAAAAGCTGAAGAATAAACTGCAACTGTATTTCGGGAGTAAAAGTAAATCAGACGGAGGAGAGTGTGAGATCCGAGACAGCGACTGCAGCCCGGGGTACATCACCATATACTTCAAGGAGGAGGCAGGTAGGTACCGGAGTGGGGGCATTATAATATACTACTAGAAGGAGGGGGCAGGTAAGTACTGAGGACTGGAGGGGGGATCCTCATACACTATAAGGAGAAGGCAGGTAAGTACTGAGGACTGGAGGGGATACTCATACACTACAAGGAGGGGGCAGGTAAGTACTGAGGACTGGAGGGGATACTCATACACTACAAGGAGGGGGCAGGTAAGTACTGAGGACTGGAGGGGGATCCCCATACACTACAAGGAGGGGGCAGGTAAGTACCGAGGACTGGAGGGGGATCCTCATACACTACAAGGAGGAGGCAGGTAAGTACCGAGGACTGGAGGGGGATCCTCATACACTACAAGGAAGAGGCAGGTAAGTACCGAGGACTGGAGGGGATCCTCATACACTACAAGGAGGAGGCAGGTAAGTACCGAGGACTGGAGGGGATCCTCATACACTACAAGGTGGGGGCAGGTAAATACTGAGGACTGGAGGGGGATCCTCATACACTACAAGGAGGGGGCAGGTAAGTACTGAGGACTGGAGGGGATCCTCATACACTACAAGGGGGGGGGCAGGTAAGTACTGAGGACTGGAGGGGGATCCTCATACACTACAAGGAGGAGGCAGGTAAGTACTGAGGACTGGAGGGGGATCCTCATACACTACAAGGAGGAGGCAGGTAAGTACTGAGGACTGGAGGGGATCCTCATACACTACAAGGGGGGGGGGGGGGGGGGCAGGTAAGTACAGGGGGAATAGAGGAATGTAGGAAGGACAGGACTGTCTGGATGGTCCAATATACAATATCTGGGACTCTTCTCTATCGCAGCACGAGATCGGGTTCTGCAGAGGAAGGATCATGAACTGAAATTACCAGATGGAACGACATTACAGCTGGAAGTCCGATTACCGGAAGACACACAGAGTACAACGACCTCCCCACCCCCACAGGACAGAGCTGGGGTAAGTGTTGGGGTACGGGGGGGAGGGGCTCACAGGGGTGCAGGGGGGGAGGGGCCCACAGGGGTGCAGGGGGGAGGGGCTCACAGGGGTGCAGCAGGGGAGGGGCTCACAGGGGTGCAGGGTTTCAGTCTCGGCCGATGTTGATGCCACCTCCAGTCTCTGAGCTCACATCTTCCATATATATGAGAACTAAATGTCACCACATTGAAGACTTTTATGGCCCATGTATGTAATGGAGCATATTGGGCACCAACAAAGGCACTATAACGTGCAGAAGACCGGGGTCACTGCTGGCGGGGCATAGGACAGGGATCACTGCTGGCAGAGAAGAGGACAGGGGTCACTGTTGGTAGGGCAGAGGATAAAGGTCACTACTGGTAGGGCAGAGGACAGGGGTCACTGCTGGCAGAGAGGAGGACCGGGGTCACTGCTGGCGGGGCAGAGGACAGGGGTCACTGCTGGCGGGGCAGAAGACAGGGGTCACTGCTGGCGGGGCAGAGGACAGGGGTCACTGCTGGCAGGACAGAGGACAGGGGTCACTGCTGGCAGGACAGAGGACAGGGGTCACTGCTGGCGGGACAGAGGACAGGGGTCACTGCTGGCGGGGCAGAAGACAGGGGTCACTGCTGGCAGGACAGAGGACAGGGGTCACTGCTGGCGGGACAGAAGACAGGGGTCACTGCTGGCGGGGCAGAAGACAGGGGTCACTGCTGGCAGGACAGAGGACAGGGGTCACTGCTGGCGGGACAGAGGACAGGGGTCACTGCTGGCGGGACAGAGGACAGGGGTCACCGCTGGCGGGGCAGAGGACAGGAGTCACTGCTGGAGGGGCAGAGGACAGGGGTCACTGCTGGCGGGACAGAGGACAGGGGTCACTGCTGGCTGGGCAGAGGACAGGAGTCACTGCTGGAGGGGCAGAGGACAGGGGTCACTGCTGATGGGGCAAAGGACAGGGGTCACTGATGGTGGGGCAGAGGACAGGGGTCACTGCTGGCGGGGCAGAGGACAGGAGTCACTGCTGGCGGGGCAGAGGACAGGGGTCACTGCTGGCGGGGCAGAGGACAGGGGTCACTGCTGGCAGGGCAGAGGACAGGGGTCACTGCTGGAGGGGCAGAGGACAGGGGTCACTGCTGGAGGGGCAGAGGACAGGGGTCACTGCTGGAGGGGCAGAGGACAGGGGTCACTGCTGGCAGGGCAGAGGACAGGGGTCACTGCTGGAGGGGCAGAGGACAGGGGTCACTGCTGGCAGGGCAGAGGACAGGGGTCACTGCTGGAGGGGCAGAGGACAGGGGCACAGCTCTTTCTCCCCATCCCTGCACTGCACACAGCCTGGGCACAGGCAGAAGAGCTCCTCTTTCCCACACATCACATAACTGTGATCAGTATAGTGTCAGGCTAGGGCGGTAAAGTATCAGATTAGGGTGGTATAGTGTCAGGTTAGGGTAGTATAGTTAGGGTTGGCTTTGGGGGGGGGCACAACTAAAATCTGGGGGGGGGCATAGCCCTCCCCAGCACCCCTCTTGATCCGGCCATGTGACAGGGCAATGTTAAAATCAGAAAATAATTCCAATTATGCTGCCCCATCAATCCAGTGCCGAGACAAGGTCACCCAGCACCCAGGGCAATGATGCCAAACTTTGGCACCCCCCCCCCTCCCCCTCCTGATATGTGAACTTAGGGGGGTCAACTTAGGGGATGCGCAAGTTGCACCTCCTCCCGACTCTCTCCTCACTGCTCCCAGTGCTGGGCTGACAGGAGTAGTGATGCCATTGTCACTACTCCTGTCAGCCTTGTAACAAATGGACATGGTGTCCACATCACTGCAATAAACCATTGTGCCCAGGGCAACCGCCCCTCCTGCCCACCCCTTGTCCCAGCCCTGCATCACTTTTCTAACACTTACCACAACAAATGGAGTGTCCTGTGTGTGCTCTGACTACAGGCGTGCTGTGACTGTGTTTGCTCTGACTGTAGTCAATACATTTGCTGTGTGCTGTAAGTGGGGGTGGTCCACAGCCTTCACCTGCTGGGTGTGCAATCACTTCACAGGCGCTCCATAGTGTCCTCAGTGACTGCAGCTATGGTATCTGATCCTAGGACAAGGGTAAGTACCAGGGGCAGACTGACAACTCATGGGGCCCCCAGGCAATAGGGGATCATGGGGCCCCTGTGTCCTTGCCCAAACTCAAAAAAGCCTATGAAAAAGGTACCAGGGGCATCTCATGGGGCCCCCTACTGACCCCAGGCCCTCGGGCAGTGCCAGAGTTTCCAAATGGTCAGTCCGCCCCTGGTAAGTACTAAACTGTCCCCTAATGACTTGCCAAGAACTTGTATCTAGCAGACTTCTCCCTTATGGGCCCTGGGGGTGTAGAGGTCCTCACACTGTCCTTGTCCTGCAGCTATGGATAGAACTGCTCTCAGGCCTTTTGCTGGGCTAGTTCATTTCCAGGCTATGCAGGATGTCCTTCCCCAGTGAACTGCAGGACAGTTGAGCTCCCTCTATCAGCTTTCATCCTTCCTCCAATCTCCATTCTGGAGGCAGAACCCCCCTTTTCCAGGGCCTCCTCCCAAGCTACACAGCAGCACCTCAACCATCCATCTTCCACCCAACTCCCATGCTGGCCACTCTCTCATATTTATGGGCCATATTTATACTCTCTCATATTTATGGGCCAGTCTGCCACAACTGCCAGGCCTCCTGCCTGGGATTGGTCAGACTTTCATGAATATGCAGATCAGCTCCTTCTTGCTTCCACCTAATGACTTCTAGAAGCTTCTCCAAGCTTCAAGAGCAGAAGGCGGTATCAGAGGAGTGACCTGTAGAGCCTTTCAGCCTGGGCTGAAATAAACTCTCTAATAATACCCAGGCTCCTAGCAAGCCTCTAACTACACTTGCCCAACCATGTATACTAGAGGGCGCTACAGTTGACTCAGCCATGAATGTGTAGAAGAGTCCTCCAGGGCAAGAACTGTTTTGCAGAGGATAGCTGAGATGGTAAGTGTACATGGAGAGGGGGGAGCAGAAAGGAAGTTGAAACATGCTCA